GCTACGAGTGGATCGGCTGGAAGAACGACACGCGGCAGACGCGGCCCGTCGAGATCACGTTCGAGTTCGACTCCGTCAGGAACTTCTCGGCCGTCCACATCTACACCAACAACTTCTTCACGAGAGACACTCAGGTGAGGAGGGTTTTCCGTGCTCTATTTACCTTGCGTGTGTTTGTGTGTGTGTGTGTGTGTGTGTGTGTGTGTGTGTGTGTGTGTGTGTGTGTGTGTGTGTGTGTGTGTGTGTGTGTGTGTGTGTGTGTTCGTGTGTTTGTCTCCGATTTCATGTGGTCCTTGTTCTCCCAGGTGTTTTCCCACGCCCGCGTCTCCTTCAGCGTGGGCGGTGAGCGGTATGACACGCAGCCCACCATCGACTACGAGTACGTGGTGGACCGCATCTTCGAGAGCGCGCGCAACGTCACCATCCGCCTCCACAACGCCGCCGCCAAGTTCGTGAAGCTCGAGCTGTACTTCGCGCTGCGCTGGATCATGATCTCCGAGGTCGCCTTCGACTCAGGTCAGTTGCCAGCCTTGGGGGGGGGGTGCCCTTCTGGTCTGTTATGATTACAACCGCTGGGTTATCATCATTACTTTTCGGGGGGAAGATGGTATGGTTTCTTCATGGAATAGTATTGTTGGGTTAGCAGTGCTGAATTAGATTAATACTTCATGAAAAAATGACCGTAAACCCTAATCTTTGTTTCTCTGCCTCGCAGTTCCTTGCGGCTGCAACCTGACGGACGAGGAGTCGCTGGCGCTGCCGACGGAGACGCTGAAGGAGAAGAGCGTGCTGGGCGAGGAGGTGCAGGAGTCGCAGCCCGTCGTGCCCGCCCACTCATCCTCGTCGGGGCTGTTGGTGGGCGGGCTGGCCACGCTGGGCGTGATCTTCACCGTGGTGCCCGTGGCGCTGTGCGTCGTGTACTACCGCGTGCGGCTGTCCAAGAAGGCCAAGACGCCGCCGTCGACCATCAACAGCGTCGACGCCAAGAAGGTGTCCATGAAGATGAAGGACCTGCACATCAACATGAACCTCTCGCCCATGGCCAACGGCTACTCGCGCGCCAAGGGCGAGCTGTACGGCCACGTGGCCATGGACGAGGAGGCGGCGGCCATGTACCAGGAGCCGTTCAAGGGGCCGCTGCACAACCCCGGCTACTACACGCTGGGCACCGCCGGCGCCGCCTCCGAGACGCCCCTCAAGTGCCCGCTGCCGCTCGACACCGACGACTCCGTGGACTACGCCGTGCCCGATGTCAACATGACGCCGCCGCCGCCCTTCTCCGAGGTGTACTCGCCGCCGCCGCCCGTGCCGCTCACGCGCCCGCCCTCCACGCTGCCCACCATCCGCACGCGCAAGGACTCGCCGCTGCCGCCGCCCGTGCCCGCCATGCCCCCGCCGCCCGAGCAGGAGTACTACGCCGCGCCGCAGCTGTGCCATGCGTCCAACATCCAGGGCGTGACCGGCTCCGTGATCTACGCCGTGGCCGACGCCGCCTGCGCCGGCGGGAAGGAGCCGCCGGTGCCCGAGGTACCGCAGCACCGCATCCGCGTGCTGGAGACCCTGGGCGAGGGCGTGTTCGGCCAGGTGCAGCTGTGCGAGATCGAGGAGTCGGACGGGCCGCGGCTGGTGGCCATGAAGAGCCTGCGCGCCGGCGCCAAGGACACCACCAAGAAGGACTTCCGGCAGGAGACGCGCGTCCTCAGCCGCCTCGACGACCCCAACATCGTGAGGCTGGTGGGCGTGGTGACGCGTGCCGACCCGCTGTGCATGCTGCTGGAGTACATGCACCACGGCGACCTGTACCAGTTCCTGCGGCGGCACCAGGGCGAGGGCACCGTCACGCCCGTCAGCTTCACCGTGCCCAGCGGCGGCGGCGACGACCAGCCCGTGCTAAGCTACGGCGCGCTCATCTACATCTCGTCGCAGATCGCCTCGGGCATGAAGTACCTGGAGAGCCTGAACGTGGTGCACCGCGACCTGGCGACGCGCAACTGCCTGGTGGGCGGCGGCCTCTGCGTCAAGATCTCGGACTTCGGCATGAGTCGGCCGCTCTACTCCAGCGACTACTACCGCCTGAGCGACTCGCGCGCGCTGCTGCCGATCCGCTGGATGGCGTGGGAGGCCATCCTGCAGGGGCGCTTCTCCACCAAGAGCGACGTGTGGGCCTTCGGCGTGACGCTCTGGGAGATCCTGACGATGGCGCGGCAGCAGCCCTTCGACGAGCTCAGCGACGATGGCGTCCTGGAGAACGTGTCTCACTGTTACCATGGCGACGGCTCCGGCATGATGCTGCTGCCGCAGCCGCCGCTCTGCCCGCGCGAGATGTACGACATGATGGCCGCCTGCTGGAGGCCCAACCCGCGCCAGCGGCCGCCCTTCTGGGAGGTCCTCATGTTTCTGCAGCGCAAGAACCTCGGATACACGGTCGATTACGTCGAGTGAAGAGTGCCCTTCGCGAGTGCCATTCACACGTACGATCTCCCCGGAGTGAAAACGGTAGTGGAAAATGGTGATTCTAAAAAAAACAACTATTTGTGGAAAGAAAGAAAATAGAAATATTATGTAATTTGGTGTTTCTTTGCTGCAACATGCATTTGGATGGTGACGATGGCGGAACTTTACCTGCGCGAAGTCACCCTTAGTGTGTTCCTAATATGGAGTTCAGTGTGAAAAGAAACAGTTATTCTCCCGTAGCGCTGTTCCATCTCCTTTATCGGTTGTGTCTGACGTTTTATAGTCGCGAAAAAAGGAAAAGAAGAATGCGATAGTGCTTCAAAGGAAACTCGAACAAATAAAACATATCATTAAAAAAAAATAAAAAGTTCCAGTGACTCGTGTTCTTCCAACAAACAAACAAAAATAGAAATAGACGAATAAATAGAATAAATAGACAGATGAAAGGCGTAAAGAAAGGTTGTATATCCCTGGCAGTTCCTCGCAATGGTGCAGGTCATGTTTTGGCTTCCGGGTCGTGCAGTTGATCTTGTGGGAAACTCGTGCTGAACTTGGAAGTGAAGATACGAAAAACAAAGCAAAAAACAAACAAAAAATAAGAATAAGAATCAATTAAGTCAAGTAGAATTGAAAAAAAAAGAAATTTGTGGTTGAAAAATATCTGACATTGATTTTTGGCGTGCATGTTGTCGTGCAATCAGTAGATAAATTGTACTTGGATCAATTTTGCAATTTCGACAGAAAAGGCAAAAAAAAAATTATTTGGTGTGTATTCAAAACAAAAGAATTAAATGTGCGTGGTTGTTATTATTTTTAAACAAGGATGTGGCTTTTTTCTAAAAATAAGTACGAGTAAAGATATTTAAAAAATCTTTAATGTAGCCACTTACAAAATAAAAAGGCATATCGTGCAAATTAGATAATATTCAAAGTTATATAGAATTTAGAAATAGATATATCATATCAATGATGCCTTTCTCTTTTTATTTCGATAGATTTTTTTTTCAATTTACTTTTACATAAATGTGCTTCCACGATTTCATTTTCGTTCTTTTTTATTATTATTATTTATTTATGATTATTATTATTAGCCATAAAGGGTTTGCTTTAGCCGTTTTTTGGTTGATTGACCTGTTTTTTTTTATTAATTAAGAACAGGTTCCTGTGATTTATCTGTGATATAAATTAGTCAGGGATTGGTCCGTACTTTTTCGTGGCCAATGATTGCATTTTGTCTCGCCTTTCTTTCAATTGTTTTCGTTTTGAGAACATGTTTTATTATCATTTTATTATTATTATTATTATTATTATTATTATTATTATTATTATTATTGTAATTGTCATTTATACATTTGTCAGTCGTTTGTCGATATTTTTTTATATTTTCATTAAATTAACGAACAGTAATAGATTTTTTTGTTCAGAATGAACGATATTTTTTGAATATGTAATTCCAAGTTGATCATTGTGTGCCATAACTTGTTACTATTGGATAACAATTATCATTATTATTATCATTACTACTACAATTACTATTACAGTTGTTATTATGATTATCATTATGACGTAACCAAGCAGAATGATCAATAATGCTTTTCTGTTTACTTAAGTCACCCCCGCCCCCCCTATTCAGCGCCTTGCAAAATAATGAACAATTATTGTATCGCTTCTAGTCATGTTTTCTGCATTGATGCTAATATAGAATTTTCATTTTTGGTTAAGAAAAAAACTAATCTTCTCTTAAGGACAAAAATTGTATTGAATAAATATATTATGATCTCTGATGCTTCATGTGTTTTGAAATTGAACTAAAAAATGAGAGAAAAAATGGTATATGTAAGTATTTTTAACCAAATTTCCTTTTTTTCGGCTGTAAGAACAACATATCTCGTCACTCTGAATAATACAATGTACATAAACAAGTAAATAAATGAATAGAAAACAAATGAATAAAATAACAAAACAAATGCTAGTGTTGCTATTATTATTATTATTATTCAGTGTGAAAAAATGTCTATCATTTGGAAAACAATTTTTTTTTCTGTACTGTGGCATTATAGGTTTCCGGTGACCTCCCCCCTACCCCCCCTCTCCCCCCTATCCCCAGCAGTAGTTTACAGAGAGGGAGGTTGTGTGCCCCCTCCCCCCTCCCCCTCCCCTCACCCCATCTCCCTCTCTTCCTTCTTCCTGTGTCTGGAAAATGAGCTTTGTAAGTGATGGTGATATTATTAGTGTGGTTATTATTGTTATAATTATTATTATCATCTTTATCATTTTCATTATTATTATTATTAATATTATTATTATTATTATTATTATTATTATTATCATCATCATCATCATTACTACTATCATCATCATCAATATTATTACTGTTTTATTATCTTCATTTTTAATGTCAATGATATTGTTATTATCAACGCTATGGATTATAATAATTATTTTTTATATATATTTTGATGGTTATTGTCATGAGCATTTTTATTGTGATTAACGCATTATGATGATTATGACCATCATTTCCAACCGCACAACAATCTCGATAC